CAGTGACCAAAACAACTAGATTTGCTGGAGGTCGTGAGAATTTTAACACTTCACATTGCAACAGTTCTGAAAGGTAAGGAAGGCTGCTCAGTCCAGTGGGGAAGGCAGAACAAGGCAGCAGTGGAAAGGGCTGCATGAACAGTTGGAGAGATGGGAACAGAGTAGGGTGGAACGGGGTTATTGATGGAACAGTGGCACCCTCACTGTTCACAGCAGAGACACCAGCACAGTGTCGTGGGAGTACGGATGTTTCCTCATCTGTGCAGAAGGGAACGTGAAAAGGTCTTGGACGTAAAGGGCTCAGGTGTTACTGAGCCCCAGATAGAGGAAAAACAGCCCTCTGCCTTCAGGATGTGCCTCTATTTCTTGCTTTTTCAGGTTATCTGTCAGGTAGAGAACAGTAGCTGAGGTGGCCAGTCTTGCTGAGAACCGAGCTGTGTTTGCAGAGAGTCAGATGTTCCCTGACACTTTGATGTCTAATAACTTGTTGCCTCTATAACTAGGGGGCTGGGAAGTGGATTATCCTGTCTCCAAGGCTGACCAAACTCCAAACAAGGTAAAAAAAAGTGCAAAACCCTGTAGTGTAGGTGTTACAAGGTGACGCTGAACAGCAGGGAAGAAGAAGCTCCTTCACCACAACTGATGAAGCCCCAAATTGTGCAGGTGCTGGTTATTGGGGTGGACGTGGCCTCTGTTCTGACTCTGAGCAGCCTAAGTGATGGTGCTAAGTACACGCGTCTTGTAAGTGTTGCCAAGTAGCTGGACTGTAAGCAACTCTTACTCTTGAGTATTATTCCTCTTTAAAAAAAAACCAAACCCCATGAAAATAAAACCATAATCCTTTAAAAAATTGGAAATGTTTATTTCTTTAGAGGCTATTTGTCACTTACACAGCTAGAAAAGTCATGGTGCTGAGGGGATTAAATTCAGTACAGATTAGATGTTTCAGTGACATTTTATTTGGAACAAAGAACTTGTAGCTGGAAATCTTCACTGGAAGAAGGATGGTTCAGAATCATGGATTCTGATTTTTCAGACCTGCAGCAAAGGGCATCTGTCATAATTTAAAAACTCAAATATGTTTTCTATGTAAGTACCTTGCAGTTTCTGCTGAGACAGCCAAGTAAATTTAAGAAAAGCTGGTTGTGCTTCTATTGTAAATGTTTATGTGATGGATCTCGTGACTGGAGGGCACCTGCACACAATGCTAATACATTTAGGTCTTTTTCTCCTCTGAATAAACACTGAATTTTGATTGCTCATTAATGCGAAACCTTCAAATTTTTATTTCAAGCTCCCAACTAATGGTCTTGTGGGTGTTTTTAATTGTTTGTATCAAAGACAGGCACACACAATAGCTACAGAAGAACAGAGCTGTTAGCACACTGGTGTAAATATACCTCACAGAGATGCTTCTGTGCTTGGTTACAGCCAAGCTCTCTGATTCCTCATCAGGGACAGCCTAGCAGGCTTCTGGATGCTGAAGGCTCAGGCTCTTCTTCCCAGGCATTTGGCTAGACTGTTAATTAGTGTTACATCACCTCTCTGCTGATCCCTGCCTGTGCCTCATCTACTTGTCTTCTGATGAGTTTGTGGTCTACCTGGAAATCTTGCAAACAACTTGGCGGGGGGGAGGAGGGGAGCAATCTCTGTCAGTTGTTTTCTCCTTCATTGGATAAACAACTTGAATGTAAAAACCTGAAATGCCTAATTAGCAAACGTTTGTGGTGGTTTAAACTGAGGTAAGGACAATTATTGTAAATTCTGAAGAAAGTGAGCTCAGATTTTTCAGTTTATTTTATTTTATTTCAGTCAAGGCATCTGTGAGGGGGTTGCTCATGGTGTGAGTCGAGAAAATTAAGCCAATTTATCGCTGTCTAAAGCTAATGTAACCTGAGGAAAAAAGTAATTTCAGGGTGATATAACAACAAATGCATTTGGAGAAATGCAACTACAAACCTGTAAGGGGAGATGACATGGTCTATACCTGTACAGTAAAACAGAGCGAGGAAGGCATCAGTGACTCACGTAGAGATGAATCACATCTCTGCATTCTACCACATGTCTACCAGGGCAAGGTTATCAATAAACTTTACATACTATGAAACATAGGATGCCTTTCCCTCACAACACACTCCCTTTGATAACCTGAGAAGGCAGGCACCTAAGTGAATGAATATGCAAATTACCTTTCTAATGAGTTAAGTGCACTGTCCCCCAAAGAACAGGTTATGACTATGTAAATGCATGTAGCCCTTTGGGGTTCTGTACCTCCTGCAACCCCATCTCTCACTGATGTATAAACTGGGGCCCTGCCCCCCCCACACAGGGGGGTCACAGGCAAAATACTGCAATCAACAAACCAGATTTGCTAAATTCCAGAGCTTTCAGTCAATAATTTGCCTTTATCGCAGATGAGTCCAATTCCTCACTGAGCTGAGGCACTGAGATTGTATCAGGACAGGTTTTGGAAGTCCCCCTCAGCATCCCTTGGGTCTGCTTCCCAGGACAGCCTGGACATATGTCCCCAGAGCTAAGTCCTTGCTCTGAGCCATTGTCAAATTTAATTTCTTTCCAAATTATTCCACATGTAGCCAGACAATGTGTCTTGCAGTCACTTACTGCGCAGTCACAGCCTCATGCCCTAAGCCAAAATGAGCACTAGTTAAACACAGAGGAGAAAAACACTAGGTGAGATTTGGGAGAGAAAAGAACCTGGGGATGCAGGTGTAAAACAACAGTGCTGTGGGCATGAGAAGTGAAGAAGCCAGACTTCCTATGGATTTGTTTGGTTTTGTTGGTTACAGAATCTGTGAAGTTACTAATATTGATTTAGGGCTTTCTCCTAATGAGGCACAAAGAGAGCCTTTCTCCTGCTGGTATTGGAAAAAGATCATTGCACTTAAGCTTTCTTCCTAGCTAAGGTATGCTTAAGACCTCTTTTTCACCTTACCAGCTATTTTTTGTGACATGTGTAAGGAACATCTGAAAGCATTTCCCCTTGGTTAAATTTGATCAAAAGTGCATGTGTGGACATTGATGATTTAATAAGCCTCATGTCTTTATAAAATCAGGCTAAAATAAAGCAACTACTATGTCTCTCTGAATAAAAGAACAATACTATTGCTGCTGAGACCTTCCTGCTTGAAGAAGTATAGGTAGGATCTAGTTGTCATGGCTGGTTTAGCTGTTCAGCAGCCAAGTCAGGATGTGCTGTCAGGGACTACGAGAGTGGTGGATTTATCACTGGCAGGAGAGGAAAAGGTCGCTCAGGCTTCAAGGTGTAGTCCACCTCATTCTGGTACCTCTTGTCAGGAGGGAACAGGAAAACTTTCTCAGGCAGTGTATGATGCTTCATCATGATCACCCAGTGGACTAACCCGTCTTGAAATAAATGCACAAGTCTAAAGGAAAAAAATCCCTTCTTTTTCCTGAGAATTGGAGAAATGGCAAGATACATGCTGCATAGTCTCTCCACTGGGAAATGCACAGTGTGTTACAGCTCTGGATATTCTCACAGCAGTGAAACGGGCAGAGCCTTTTAAGCAAGCTGTCAGGAGTTTATTTACAAGCGCTCTCCTCCTACAGAGAGGCTCTGTGATATTCTGGTGCAGAACAGCAGGTGATCCCAGACTGACTGGTGTGTGTTCTGGCAGGGCCAACACTGCCTCACATGCAGCAAAAACAAAGCTGCATGTATGGGAACAATGGGCAAGATGATTTTAAAGATGAGTAGTTTCCCACCCACTGTCTCCTGGGGTTGTGGTGATGTGCTGTGTCTGATCTCTGTACTCCTGCAACAGTGCTCTACATGGATTTATTTTACTCTTCCAACTACATGGTTAATAAGTCCTTTAGGTTCTTTTTCTCCAGAGAAGAGAACTTTAATCACATTTTAAACCAGTGGCAGCAAATGCTTTCTTCAGTGTGGGTTTTGGGGGACTAAAGGACTGCTCATTTCAGAACTGCTAAACCAGCACAGTAACTAGCAGTCAATACCTCATGCTGAGCATGTGCTTTGAAGGCAAGGCCTTTTGCCTCCCTGCAGCTGTTCGCAGAGCTGCCATTTGCCAAAAAATGGATGAAATGTGTTTGTTCAATTGATAGATATCTCCTGAATGAGAGATATGTTCAGCCCACGACTTCTCTCCTTTTTCTTGAGGGAATGGATTGACTGCAGAACTGCTGATTTGGAGTAGGAATATTCCCCAGTTTAAAAGCAGGCAAAATGTGAAGAATAAATGTTATTGGCATCCAACAGATGGTGGTTGACATGTTTTCTAGCTGTCATGAGTCTTTCAGAATTCTTCTGTTGTATATGCCAGAGTTTCACCTTTGTGCTGCCAGGCTGAACACAGAAATGACAAACACAGGTAGAGGTACTCTGCAGGGCTCTATAGGTAAAGAGAGTTAAGCTGAACCAGCAGGAGAGGATTAGTAACTCTCAAATTAAGATGTGCACCTCAGACATTGTGATTGGGATACTCTACATTAAATTCACTTTATATAGTAAAGTTCATTGCATCGGGTCTTTAATCATTATCTCTAACCTGAGGTAAGAACTGAGTCACCCCCAGCTTCTCTCTCAAGGACATTTTCCTGACCGTGACACTGAATTGCAACACGTAAATGTCTTTTGCCTGGTACAGTCCTGGACTGTTTTCTTTTGCCTCTGCTTTGAGGTGTCAGCTTTCAGTGAACTCTGGTAACATTTTATTATTGCATTGAGGCAGAGGCAGAGAAGAGCAATTAAAGAGTTGGCATCTTTGGTATTTTTTTTAATACTACATGTGTCAAAATGCATTTAACAAATCATGGTTGATGCAAAAGCCTAATTAATGCTAAAATGTAAGTAGAGTTCATTTCAGTTGGGAGCAAATGAGAATTTTAAAATGTATAATAACAAAAAGTGGTTGCCTTAGTTTGGATATAGGACCTAATTACAACTCCTGCTTCTGAGAACTGAAGTCTTAAAGCCTAAATATTCCTTCTTGTTCCAGGACACAGCTGGACAAGAAAGATACAGGACCATCACTACTGCCTACTACCGAGGAGCCATGGGATTTGTGCTCATGTATGATATCACCAGTGAAGACTCCTTCAATGCAGTGCAGGACTGGTACGAAATACTGTTTTTGTTGGGTTTGTTTGGGTTTTGCTCAATTCTCTCCTCACAATTGTTTATTGAGAACAGGAGACATCCCACCTTCTATAATGCTTTGCATCACCATGTTCTTTCCTTTTCATCTAAACCCTGGGATAAGTAATTTGATTTATAAACTTTCCTTCAAAAAAGTTCTACAGCTTCACTTTAATAAAAACGTTATAATTCAAATATTGTAGCATACTATAGAACTTGTTGCTTTTAAAAGTTTAAATTTATTATAAAGAAATCAATCCTTTAATACATTATTTGGGCTTATGAGGTTTCTGGCTATGCTGCTAAAACAATTCAGTTTAACAGTGATTGTTCGCTTCAAATCTCAGGGATTTGGGGAAAGGCTGTGTTTATCCTCAGAAGTAGTAGCCCTGTGAGTCCCCTCAATAATTTCTGCTTGTAACCTGGTTGCTGTGTATTGCAGATAAGTGGTCAGGGTGCAAAAAAAGGCAGTGCAGTGGTTAATGGGATCTCCCAAGTCTGATGGAATTGCAATGATCTGGGTGACCTGTTGGGAGAATGTGATGTGCTGGCTGTGGTGCTGGCTGTTGAACACTTATTCTGTACCCTCTAATCTAGGCTGTAACTCAAAAGCTGCAACCATGTGGTTTGTTGTTTATAATAATTTGCTTTTCCTTGGGGCTGCCCATGTTTTGTTCTTGCTGTCCACTGAAGCAGTTGGTCATTATCATCAGGACTAAAGATGTAGTCTCCACTTTCACTCCATCTCAGTACCATGACACCAGGCTGCAGAATGTGAACTGCAGAAACATCCTAAGCTGTCCTGCAGCAGCTGGTGATAGCGGAATAATTTTTTTCCTTGTTAGAAACACAAACCCAAAGGTTTTGCCAAAACCAGTTTCCTCTATGTGGCACATGCTCCACCAAGCTCAGATGAAACTTTTTCTGCAAGTGTGTGCATGGGGATGTTTTCCATAGGAGTGCAGGCATGTGAGTTAGGGCTATCTTTCACTAAACTGTAAATGTTTTCAGCTTGGTTCCCTGGTGAAACAAGATATATATGACCACACAGCTCATCTACCTCTCTGAATGTTGGTTCTGCTCTAGTAAGTTTTACTTATCAGTCTTAACTTAGCAAAAAAATACCAAATCTCAATCTTTGACCTGCTACTATTTTGAAGGCTGTACAGGTGAAGTTTAACCTGAAGCTTTGTATTGGAAATGGTCTAAGGTCTGTTCCATCACAGGCACTGATACAAGAGTAAGAATTGGGAAAGGTCAGTTTTGTCGATTTGACTTCATGTCTTCCAGTGCCACGGGAGCTGCAGGAATATCTTTGCTGAGAGCACCTTGTCAGCCAAAGGACAGAGGTGAACCATCAGTGTATTTTTACCCTGTGTGTCAGGAATCTTTCTAACCAGTTTTAAGATTCTGAGCACAAGTTATGTTGTGGGGAGGATCAAATCGACACATTTCTTTCCTTCCTGAAGCTGGTCCACTGGAGAGGAGATGAGGGCTGTAGCAAAGCCAGCAACGCTGGGCCAGCAGAGTCCTCTAGTGGTCATGCAGCTCAGAGGTGGTTTTTCCCAGCCTGCAAAATTGCTTTCTAAACTTCCGAAGGCACAAGAAATGGAAACAAAAGCTTTTGTCTGATTCTGGTGCTGCTTTACCAGCCTCTACCATTTTCTAGCATAGCATATAGGTAGGGGGACCCCTGGTGGCCTAGTGGTTAGCGTGCAGGACTTTCGCTGCTGCGACCACGGGTTCAAATCCCGGTCTCCTGGCCTGATGGAGGTCGTTAGCCCTGTGTGGCCATCCATCTATGAGAAGGACACTCTAAACAAACCTACGTCCTGAGGACCTCACTGCCATTGTCCAAGCTTGCTTGGCCCCGGCAGATGAACCTTAGGATTAAAGGGTGGGCTCAGTTCAGCGCAGGCTGTGTCTCACCTAAAAAATCCATTGCGCAGGCTGGAAAGGTAAAAGACCTTTCCCCAAATCTTCGTTCGCGAAGATGGGCCATTATTATATAGGTAGGATTTGTGGTGGTTTTTTTTCCCCCACCATGCTGCATGATATAGTTATGCTTAAAAAACCCAATTACACTGGATCTAGTCTTCAGGCAGGAACTGTACTCTCCCTGGAAAATTAAGATGTCTCCTCCTTGAGCTCCTTTAGTTCAGAGCCTTTGTCTTTGGTTCATTGGTACACGACTGTTTTAACAGCCTTCTCATTGGTCCTCACCTGCCCACAAGGGAAATGAGAATATCTCTTCCAGTCTGCCATATGATTTCTTCCTTGGGAGATCATTTTACCTCACCCTTCTTATGGGTAGATGTCCTAAAGAAGATCCTGGTTTGCTTTGTATCACTCATACTTCTCCTAAACCAAGTGAAGTCACCCTTTCTCCTGAATGAGGAGGATTGTAGCTGTATATCAATATTTAGACAAGCTCTCCAGGTAGTATATGAATGTGAAGTAGAGTTTTTCCTTCATTCACATCAATCACCCCAATTAATGATGATTTTCTTAAAGCCGCTGAGAAAGATACACAATTTAAATGCGTTTGGGAATACCTGGAACATGACTTGTTCTCCTGTTCACTGGAAAAAGTAAAACATGTATGAGAAGCCTTAAAATATTAAGCCTGAGTGATTTTCCTTACTGCAGTGTGGCAAGAGTTCAGTCAGATTATTTTACAAGAAAAAGCATAAATGGGCAAATGCAAAGATGGGGTTTACCTGATGTTTGAAGAGAAGTAATTATTTTGTTTGACTATAAGATGTATTTCCTGTAGGGTGAGTGAAAGGGTTAAATTAGCTTTCCTGGCTTTCAGCTCAGTTTCTAGAATTTTTTTTTTAGTAGTCTCCTTTGATAGCTGTTATTTGACATTGGGTTGATAGTTTTGTGTGTAGATAAATCAGTAGTTTATACCTCATTTGAGACTGTACTGGAACTACAATATATTCAGTATTTGAAAATGTGAAGTAAATAGAAAATATTATGCAAGCTCTGCTTTGGACAATCTAGACAATTTCATAGAAGGAAAATAAAAATTGGTAAAATTTAACTTAGATGTAAGTGACAGCTGGGTTCACAAATTATCTTTAAAGCTGATCTCTAAATTGGGTTGTTGATACCTCCTGTTGTAACTGTGAACCTGAGACTATTTTTCCTCTAAGTTCGCATGTGAAGCACAAAAAATGTGTTTTATTGTTAATTTGGGGAATTCAGCACAAACAAGGCACAGCATTTTTATTTTGTCACAGAAATATCTTTCTCTCAGTGTGTATATTGGGCCCACCCTGACAGTTGTTGAAACATCTCAATTGCACAAGTCTTGTTATTTAGTAATTTGTCTTTCCAAAAGTTTCTGGAAATTTGCTGCAATTTTTTTGTAATGGCATCAGGGTTTCCTTTAGATGTTCTTCATAACTTTTTTTGGTTGGTTGATCTTTATGCCTGAGAGGAGTAAATATTGGTGTTCTGTAAGAGCTTTTTCTCTAGCTTGTACAAAACAAGAAGGATGTGTTTCTGTGGGGGATCCTTCATGCAGGTTGCTTCTTTTTGATAAGTAATTCTGTTTAAATAGTTGAGATTTGGCAGTGTGTCCCCATCCAATGCCAGGGGCTGAAATTAATCCAGTCAGAAGAAAAGCCTGCTTATAGGTGTTTTAAATTGAACCTGGGAAGACTTTATTTCTCTCTATTGCTTATGGAGGGAAAGTGGGGAGATTTCACGTTCCTGGGATTTTGGCTCATTTCTTCAGCCACCCCCTTCTGTGATGAGCCTTGAGAAACCCCAGAGATAAGCTCATCACAGACTCATATTAGCTCCCATGGGGCTTGTCTACATGGAGTCACTCAAAAGGGTGAAACTGGAGGAGCCAAAATTGGGCTTGGAGAGAGTGCCTTTCCAGGAGGGCACTAGGAAGAGGAAAAAGTTTGATTGCACAGAGACTTTGTTTATTTTTGAGTGTTGCACTAAGGGTCTGGGCTTGTGCAGTGGGCTTGGGTTAGGTTTATGTTTTCCAGTGCAATCCAAACAGGCTGCTGCTTCTTCAAGGCAAGTTGCACAGTGAAATGACTCCCTTTTCCATAGTTATCTGTGAAGTAACACCAGTGGCTTCTTTCCATGGAAAAGGCAAGTAAGCAACTCAAACTAATTAAAAATTGTCATTAGTAGATCAGAGCTGGAGGCTCCTGCTAATTCGAAGGAGAAGGAATCAAGTGCTTTATTGTTAAGGGAGTTCAAGCAAACTTAAACAGAAGTAAAAATCTGAGGGGACTCCTGGCTCTCCTGGGAAATGGCAGGGTTGCCTGAAAGTGAGTGTCCAGTGTGGAGTGGTGGTTAACAGGGACAAAGAGTGGAAGATGATTTAGGGACTGGAGGAGGGCTGGACGTGGGAAGGAGTGTATTGCTTCTGGCAGAGCAGCCTAATTACCTTTGGGAAGGAGGGAGTCAGAAAAGATAGAGCTGACTCGGGGAAGATAAAATAGGTTGTGCTGGTCTGAAAAAATGGATGAAAGTGAATTCCCCCAAGCTAATACTGTTCTGCTGCTGGCCCTGGGGCACCTCCCCGAGGATGGTGGGAGAGGACTGGCCCTCAGGATAAACAGGAGGAAAATCTTCAGTTTCATCATGGAAAAACTATAAAGAGACCAACTTGGGATCCACAGTGAGCTCCACAAGAGTCTCTAAGTTCACCTGAGTGCTTCTTCCTAAGCTCCAATGCACTGCACCCTCTGCCACTGAAGTTAGCGTTGGTCCCGTACTTGCTCTCTGTCATTGCATCTGCTGTTCCCTGCCTTAGGTATCACTTCATCCTGTTGGGTTCAAATATTAGCTCACAGAGCCTTGCCTTGATCTCATATCTTCCTGATTTGGTACATTTCTGTTTCTCTTTAGCAATTATTTCCATGTTCCTATGCAATTTTCAGCCTCCATCAACTCCTTTTCCTCTTCAAGCAAAGATGACTTGATCCTTCCACCTGTACTTGTAGTGTTCCTAAAACTCTACAGCAAATGTGCTGCAGCAAATGAGCATCTTTTTTTGTCTGCTCTAAATTATTGTTGTTCTGTCTTTTATAAGAAGTTGTAAATCCAGCATGAAGTGTGCATTTATTGTATGGCTCTCTCTATGGGACAATTATCCCGAGGAGCTATAATTGATTGCCATTCCTCTGACAGATGACAGCTGAAGGAGAACAAGCTTTTTTGTCCCTAGATTTCAAAAATTCTTCAGTTCAGCTTTTTATCTGGATCTCATGATCTTTTAACACTTTCAAAGTCTTAACAAGAAACTTTATTGTCACACCAAATTAAGGAGTAGTAAAACAGAATGGTGCTGTGAGCTACAGAGTCTGCATCCTTCCTTTATATGTAAGCCAGGTCATTAATGGTACTTGGTTTTATATTTAATATATGATTATTTTGGCACAGCTGATGGAATGTGACAATCTTTTCTGACCTGCTGCAGGGCCACACAAATCAAGACTTACTCCTGGGACAATGCACAAGTGATCCTGGTTGGAAACAAATGTGACATGGAGGATGACAGGATTGTTCCTGTGGAGAAGGGGAAACACCTGGCGGATCAGCTCGGTATGTGGAAAGCTTTTCTTTCTATCTCTTTTTCCCTCTGCTACATTATACTTTGTTCCTTTTAGTTTGTACAATAAAAAGTCCCCCCAGCAGTAATACTTAATTAATGGTCTCACAACTAGAAAGAGTAATATATTCCAGATCCATATTTTACTTGCTTCATGCTCAGTAGGCCAAGATGTGCTTGGTAGAATACTTGTAGTGTTGCTGTATCTGTAAAGGTAATGTCTGAGGATGGAAGGAAGATAAAGTTTGTCTGAACAGAAAAGTTTTTATTAGCTCAGCAGAATGAAAAGAGAAAAGGTTTTCATAAACACAATTCTGTCTCCAGGTCTCCAAGTCCCGTGTACTCATTGCAAATCAGTGCAAACATTGATTTTTGTTGAAGAATTTATCTTTTTAATGAAACAATGAAAAAAAAGGAGTTTATACATGAGAACTGTAGAATTGAGTAAAACATATTTTAAAAATGTACTAGGCTTCTTTATCCAGGTAAGGAAATGACATTATGTTATTGATGTGGGATAGAAAAAGCAGAACAGTTCCATTGAGAGGAAATTGGGATTGCAATGAAAATTTCAGAATGAACAGCAAAATAAGCTTATACTAGTTTATCATTTATTTATCATTTTTCATTATCTATTATAGCATATGTGATATTTTTAATATGGAATCAGGACTCTGTTAAGATTTAACTATACTGCTGTCTTCTGTTAAAGAATTCAAACTAGCAAGTAAATCCTGTTTAAAAAATTAGTTTAAATTTAAACAAAAAGATGGTCACTGTTCTGAAAAGTTAAGAGCAATCAGGTTATTTTTTCATGTGAAAAAAAAGGCATGGCTGCAAAATCCTGCAGGTTTAGAGATTTCAAGTGTAAATTCTACATATGGCAAGCACAAAGGGGTCCCATTCGTGACTTGAGCCTTGAGGTACTGCCATCATAAACAAATAATGAGCAAATATCAAACTAAACCCATCAGTATTGTTATTGTAATAATACATCTTTACATGTAGGACTAGCAAAGCAAACAGAGACATGGTTAGTTTACAAAATCAGTTATGGGCTCTTTTTTACCCATCAGAATTTAATTTGCTTTTGAAAATATTACTGTGAATAAACTTGGCTCCTGGCTTGCAGACTCTCAAAAAGGTTGTGTGTGCAAGTGTGTCCACATATTTTGCAGGAATGATTACACTGTTAGTAGTTGAATATTTGTCCAGACCGATGTAACACCAAATAGAAAGTTTTATTTGAACTCCCACTCCAATTTGGACATCTAATGTTTTTTTCTCACCCCAAAATTCATCTGTTTGTTTGATTACAAACTTGGCATCTAGAATCTGAATCCTTTATGTATGGGACACTTCAAACCACACACACACAGAGTTACCATAGCAACTGAATTTATCAGTAGGAAAACTGTTTTTCTGAAGAATCCCCAGTTCTGCCCCTCACCTGTCCTCGTGTCTGTCCAGCTCACTCTGGACAAACACACCGCAGTGCAGACCAACCCAAAAGCTAATCAATCCTTTGGGAAGTGCTGTCCCAGCCCTGCTCTTCTATAGCCTCCCAAAATACTAAACACTTTTTAAAAGGGCTGAAAAATGGATCTGATTTTATCAGTCAGTTTTTCCTTATAGTAACTACGTTAATGTGTACAGCATTATCTGAAATTATTTTGTGTGTTAGCTGGCAGGAATCTCTTTAATTGGCTGTCGACTGCTTTAACTGCTACAGTTCATCACAATGATTCACATAAAGGTTATCCTTCAGCATGTTGATCTAAATTTGTATAGTGACATTAACATCATTGAAATAATTCCCTAATCAGATTAAGAAATTGCTCTTGGCCTGAGCATGAACTGAACCAAAAGAGATGTCAGTGTTGGACTGACTAATATCTAAGTGCAGTTCTCTGATTTCCTGCACTTTTTATGTACATTTTTATTCACCATCAAAGACAGCAAGAGGGGCAGACAGAACACTCTGTGCAGGAAAGTCATCCCTGTTTAGTTAGGAGGCAAACAGCTCCACCATCACTTCACCGGTTGTCCCCTGAATTTTAAAAAGGGTTTGAATGGGGTGGATACCTACTTATCTCATACATCGAGGTGACTCAGCCCACCGGCAGTGGCAGACTAATCAGTTAAAACAAATTATCTTTCCCTTTGTTTGTGGCAGAATCAAAGGAAATTGTTGCAATGCGGAACATCCCCAAAATGCAGCACAACAGAATGTAGCTTATTGCAGAAGAAACTCTCAGTAGTGCCTCAGCTCTTGCTGCTGGCAATTTAATAACCTAGTAGAACAGCAGCAACAGCCACTGTAAGCACTGGTTGGCCCTTGAGGCCCCTGGAGTTGGAAAGATAAGGAAATGCTTCACAGTTGAGCGCGTTCCTGCTGCTGGGGCAGGCTTTGGGCTGTCTGGGGGAGGCTGGTTCTCCCAGAGCACTGGGTGTCAGCGGGAAGCAGCAGGAAGAGCTGTCTGTGCCATCCCCTCCTTGGCATAACTCCAGCCTTGCTTGTTTGGTTTTTTTAATCAGAAAGGGTCAGTGTTTGAGGATCTGTGCTCATCACTGCAGTGAGGAGCCGGTGACTGGACACCGGAATTAAAGTTGGGTGTAGTTCAGTGGTGCTGAACCTCCTGTCAGGACGGTGCTCTGTGCTGTGCAAGAATCAATCACTCTGAAGAGCTTTCCATCTAAACAGACAAAGAATGGGAAGAAACAAGACGCAAGTCATGGAGCATTTCGCTCCTGAGTGCAGAGGTTGGTCAGCAGAAGGAATGAAACCACAATCTTCCTTCTTGTTCTGGCCTCTGCTCTTGCCAGATTTCAGCAGGGGTTGATAGAGCCAGCCTGGCCCTGGGCAGGGGTGTGTGGAGCCTAGGAAGGTTCCTTACCCCTTGCTGGGGGGGGCATGTCACCAGCTGCAGCCCAGGGGACTTTCACTGATGAAAAGGGGAGAATCCGACTCCTTTATCCTGGGTTTATTCAGATCTGTATCATCTGCAGATGTGCTTACCAGGGTGATAGTAAGGATCCATTTATCCCTTTGTTAAATATCAGATAGCATCTCACTGATGCTTGATAAATTTTAGAAGAATTTCTGCTCACTATTCCGAGATTGTGGGAATCAACAGATCTTAAGAATTATCTAATGTCTAGTTTTCTTAAGGTGCATTCTGAAAAAAATGGTATTTTAAAACCCATCATTATCATCAGCTTCTATTGATACTTTCTGGTCACTTTTTCCACAGGTTTTGACTATTTTGAAGCCAGTGCCAAGGAAAACATCAACGTGAGGCAGGTGTTTGAGCGTCTCGTGGATATAATCTGTGAAAAGATGTCAGAGAGTGTAGAATCAGACAATTCCAGGGGCACTTCTGGAAGGAGCATGAGACTCACAGATAACCCACCCCCTTCGCAGCAGAACTGCTCATGCTAGTGACCCTTCACTCTGAGAAATGTCCTTCTCCCTTCCTGACTAAATTTTACATTTTCATTTGTGGTGGTGTGTTATCATGTAGTCCAAAGGCAGAAGTCTCTGTTGTAGGAAACTGGTATGTTTGTTTAATGTGCTGGAGTGTTAATATTATGTATTTCCTCATCTAATAATTTAAAAATCTGAAAAAATATTGTAAGTGCACCTTGTGTGAATGTGAGTTACACTGACAAAAAATAATTGTTTGGTGTTTCATATGTTATTTCCACAGAGAATGTTGCATTTTTAATTATAAATTCCTCTATTGCAGAGTTTTTTTGTCAAGAACAGTGGGAAGCACAAAAACCAATTAAGAGGGACCAGGTCTAAAAGAAAATGGGAGAAAATCTTTTGTAAAGCAAGATTATACTTTTTTGTTAACATAAAGCCAAAAAAAAGAATCAATCCCCAGGTATTTTGGGAGTTGTCATTGCTGTCCTGGAGACATGGGCCTCAGTTTTGCTGTATGATGGAGCAGAAAGCAGAGCATGTCTGTCTGACAGTGGGAGGTCTTTCAGAGAGCAAAGAGGAAGGGGGGTGGATTTTGTGTCAAGTCTCTAAATAGAGGAAGAACACATGAAGGAATCAAATCTTCCAGGCAGGGGAAGAGGAGGAGGCCTAGCAGCCATACCTGCATTACCCTGTGCTTTGGCCGATGCTGGGTGAAGGAGTGAGAGCCCTTCTAGGGGCTCCCCTTGCCTCCAGACTTCTCCCCCATCACTAGTAACAGCTTGCAGGATGCTGGGAGTGTTGCTGTGTTTGGCACCTTCATGTCCCTAATCCTCTGTTTCTAGAATCCCAAGAGCAGACTGTCCTGCAGCCTTTCCCCTGTATCCTGTAATTTTACCTCTCCAGGTCTGATCTACTCTTATCAACTCCCTGCTGGTGGATTTGTTGCAGGATGAAGGAGGAATTGGCTGCTCCGTGCTTAGTTGGAGGCAAAATCTGACTTGTGAGACTTGGAGTAGCACTGTCTCAGAGAGATAAAAATACCGGGAGCCACAATATGAGTCTTTATAGATATTAGTGCCAATATTATTAGATTTTCTCTCTGCATTTGTTGTTGATTTATTTTTTAAATTTTGTGATAGATGGGTGTGTGTGTGGGGATAGTTGTTCTGGTTTCAGATTCAAATAACACAAAGTATAACTTTAAGAAAAAGGAAGATTGATTAATAAAACATAACTGTGAATTAAAAATGGCAAAGACATCCTGTTAAGAGTTATTCTACAAACTTTTTGTTGCTTCATTCTTTGAAGGGAGGAAATATTTTTAAATTAAGTGGATATGGAGAGAAGTTTAAGGTGAAAATTCTGGAAAGTTTTATGGCTTTGCCTTTGGCCTGTGAATTTCTCTGACTGAGGGGACTTCCTGATGTCAGGAACCGGAGTGGAGTACCTGCCCTCTGCACTGTAATGTGCTGGATCATGACACTAGTAAGTGCTTTTGTAATTTTGTTCTGTTCTGTCTCAAAGTGTAATAGCTCTAAGAAAAAAAGCACAAAAATCGGGACAAAAATGCAACTACTTTGGAGTAGTTTGAGCTCATTGTGCTACGGGTTTCATCCCTCTGTTTGTGTGTTGCTTTTGGAAATCTTTACTGCGATGTGTTTTGGGTGCGTGTGATTTAGTCCTGAACGTGTGATTTGTGCAGTGCTGGGATTGTGGTTGTTGTATCTAAACCCCTGAAACTGCAAAATAAAGAGAAATGAAGTCACTGGGTGTGGCCAGAGAGCTTGTGTCAGCTGCATCACTTGCGTTAGGCAATCCTGGGCGTGTGTAAAGAAGAAATCCTTTTAATGCTTTAAAAATACATCAACCTACATTGATCTTTGTTGGCAGGGTGATGATTGACCCCGGCAATCTGGAATCACTGTATAGGTTTAAAGCAGAGTGAAGATTACAAGGATTATTTGGCCAATAAATGGGCAGTGCTGTGTTCTAATTGTAGAAGCAGCAGGTTTTAGGGCAACTTAAATAACTAGCAAAAATAATAAAAAAAATCCACAGTAGGTTGCAATGATTTTGAGCTGTGCAGATATACCTGAGTGCCTTAGTGCAAATAATTATTTGTTAGCTCAGCAACTCAATGGTAACAGAAAATGCATTCAGCAGAAATAGAATTTCAATTCTTGTCTTTTACTTAACTTTTTTTTCCTAGCAAAAAGGACCTTTCCCTATCCTACACAATATATAATTGTGTTTCACTGTATTCCAGTCAAGTCAGATGGGTTTTTTTAAAGAATACGAGTACATTCCAGGCCCTTCAAGCTAGGATGGGCAGAATTGTTTTTCATAGGACAAACCAGCAAGTAGCTACATGGCAGTCTGAAGAATTGGAAAAGACAGGAATTCTATCCTGGCCTACATTGCATACATAGAAAAACCTAGTATTTGGTACAGAAATCCTCCAGAGTTTATTTCAAAGAAGGAATCAAATCATCACAGGCAACTGACACATCTCTGCATTAATATGTAGTTTGTGTATCTCATCATCTCACATTTGCTGTGAAGGAATACAGGGACAGCCTTTTGCCTTAAATGGCCTGCGTCTGATTTCAATATCAGCAGTGAGTCAGTAGGACTTGTTACTTGTATTAACTTGTAAGAGGTAATGGCAGAAGGTGAGACAGAGATTTGTCAGGGCAGGGGAAGTAACAGACCTGCTTGCACTGAACCAAAACCTGCACAAAAACCTGCTTGCACTGAAGACAAACACAAAATTTGTGGTGTCATTTTGTATGGAGCCTTCCATTTGAATGGCAGTGGCCCAGGATAGCAAGTGTTGGTAGAACAGCATGGCTACAAGATAAAAACAGGTATTGGAACGTGAAAAGCAAGAGGTGACTGCTCTTCGCAAGCATCTCCTTGGTTTGTACGATACAGCAAGAAACATAGGAAAGCTTGGGATTAGAGATGGGTCTTGGCTTCCATCTTGTGGAGGAATAAAACTCTGAAGTATCAGGCAGGCATTCAGCCTGAATTATCACCCCTGTACCTCAGACAGCCCTCATTTGTTGGCCTCTGACACCTTTCCTTGGCGTTCACCATCCCCCTGTGCGGCCAACACCGGCCCCCACACGGGCACCGGGAAACCCGGTGTTACAGGGAAGCACAGCCGGGCAGGTGTGCAGCGGTACAGAAGGTGCAGAAGGGCTCTGATAACTGCACTGGCAGCTTCCCCACAGGACCTCGGCGGTGTGTGTCAGGAGATTCAAGCCAAGAGGCAAAGCGGCATTGCCGTTGTCACTGGAGTTGGATGGAGGGTGAAGGATATCCACGAACTGGGAAACGCGGGGACCCGCTGAAGTGGTCACGTAAAGAATAGAGCTTTATTCTATTAAGCAGCCACGGGTACAGACTTTAAGCTGTTCGGGATACACCTTATGCGTATACACCGGGAACACACAGCCCCGAGCATCCGCACCCGGCGCGCTCTGAGCCCAGCGCTGCCCCACACCCGGCCTGGGCCAGCTGATTGGTCCTGCCAGAGTGAGCGACAGCGGGGCGGACCAATCGGTGAAGGCAATGAGAGGAAGCGGCCGCCTCCCACCAGCCTGCTGTTGGACTATTCCAATACCGGAGCGAGGGGGGGCAGCAGCTCAGCCGGGGGGCGGGGGCACACGTAGGAACCGGACGGCGCAGCGAGCAGCCCCCGCCATCTGCCTCCGTTCTCCCTCCTCGTCCTCTCCGCTCTCATTTCTCCGCGCGCTTCTCCCAATTCCTGAACGGGGTCGTATGTCCCCTGCTCTCCTCTCCCCCCTCCATGGTTTCCCTCACGCCGGGCAGCCGCCTCTGCGCCAATCGGAGCGCGCCACCGCCATGCGCGTGCGCATTCTGGCGGCCGCCCTCGCTCGGAGCGGGCGGGCGGCGGCCGGGGGTCCCCGCGGGCGGGCGGGGGGCGGGCGCCCGGCTCGGGCCGTTGTGCGGCCGCTGTGGGGCAGCGGCACCGCCGCCGCCGCCGCCATGCCCGGCAGGAACAAGGCGACGTGCGGCTACGGCAGCCCCGAGCTGGCCGTGGGACAGCAGCAGGCCGCGGAGGGCGGCCGCGACGCCGGGGGCCGCTCGCCTCACGGGGACGAGGAAGAGGAGCGCGGGGCGGGCGGCCCCGGCCACAACCTGGGCGACCCCGACATCGTCAAGTCCCCCAGTGACCCCAAGCAGTACCGGTGAGGGCGGCGGGGGAGGACGAGGCTCGGTGGGGCGGGCCGGGGTCTGCCCCGTGTCCCGGGCACCGCTGGACTTCGGGCTGGTTCCAGTGCCTGGGGGAGATGGGGGCCTGTCTGTTCAAAGGAGGCTGGTGGTTCGCGCGTGTGCTTCTGCTGGGGATGGGCGGTGCGGGAGCAGGGCTGGGGCTGGCAGGGGCCGGGGGATCGGCTCCTTTGCGGGCGGGGGGGTTCACCAGGCACAGCAATTCCTAATTAATTGTTGGTTCGCAGCCTCTCGCCGAAAGATTTCAGCTGAAGTGCAGAGTGCGGTTGAAGTATTTTCAGAGCAGATCCCAACTTAAAAACAGCCTCTAAAACTCTTCCTGTTTTAAATGAGCTCCCAAGTTTTAACACAGACATATCCGCGAGTTGAGGCACAGTGCTTTTAAGCTGCCGTTTTGCTTGTGTTTTTATTTGAATATATCCGAGTAATACCCCGGGAAGTGATGAAAAGGATCACATTCCCTGAGCACAGCCCACAGCGTCCGTGGCCCAGACACAGCAAGGGACTGGGACGAGAACTCCAGCAGGGATTGAGCTCTTTGTGTGCTGTAAGACAGTTTATTCTTGAAGGGACACTGATAACTTCTTCCTGTTAGGCAGAAGATGATCCAGCCCTTGTTAGAATTGCCTTTTTTTAAAAATCTTTACTTTTCCTGATGTCTAATCTGTGCAGCCAGTGGAGAATCTGCTGCCTGAGTCTGGAACTGAGTTTTGGATTTGCAGTGACATTGGTTGACAGTGAAATTCCCTGCTGGCTGCCTGAAAAGGACTATGCCCATTGGCTTAGGGAGACACTTGCTCCCTCCCTTCTTGCCCTACTTCCTTGCTGCTTCCTCTGAATCGCTGCCTGCCTCTCCTGATGGCATTGTTACTCTTGCTACTTTGTAGCAGGCTCTCTTCCTGCAAAACTCACAGCTACAGATGCTGTCAGCTCAGGGAACTTCTGCCTTTGCTACCTGAAGCAGCACACTGGTGAATGAAGCTTGGGAAATCCATTGAAGGCTGTTACTACCATTTTTGAGGCTCAGGAACTTCTCTGCACATAGAGAATTGGAGAGTGTGTTTGCTTATAAGACAAGGGTGACATCAGCCTTAACTTAGTAAAAAATATCATATTTTACCTTCTTAGATACAGTGATCACAAAAACCAAAAGAGCTCTGACAGAGATTGCAGGATGAATTTTCAGAAGTGAGTTTGTTGGAACAAAATAATCGTCATAATAAGAGTTAGGTTTGCTCACTAGAGCTGTAATTGGGTAGTTGTATTTACCAGAAATATATGTTTTATTTAAATTCGTCTACATATGGAATTTCATGGGCTTGTATTGCTTGTAATTTGGGAAATTACATTTCTCAGTGTTTACCATACACTGGTATGTATTTAAATCTTAACTTCTGAACAATTGTCATTAATATAAGAAAAATCGTTGTATGAGAACAATCCTGTTTAAACTTACCCAGGACTTTTAAAGAGTACTTTTAAGAATTTGAATTTTATTCTATATTTAAGCCTTATT